CACCTGTTTCTGAGCTTTGTATATATGACCTGTGAACCTGTTATTGGTATTTATTTGCTTGGAAACATGTTCAATTTCTTTAAAATGGGACTCATTAAACTAATTTAGTGATAGAGGGGCAAAAGAGAGAAATAATAGAACTAAAACATGCCAAAGTGTGAACAATACAAAAAAAAAAAAAAAATCCAATTAAAGAGTGAATTGATTAAAAAACAACCCAGAACACTTGGTTTTGCAACTAACTAACAGTTCCAAAAATAGAATTCACTGTAGCTAAGTGAATAGTATATATATATATATATGTATGCATGTATTGTAGATATCTGAGTGTGTGTCGTTTTTGGAACATACATACCCAAGCAAAAGAACCACCAGAAGCAACTCTGTTTGTTGGCCATCCTAACAAATACTATATATATACAAAGTTCAAGTGAGTTCTTTTGATTTGACGCTTTGTGATATCTGTCAAGATCGTGGTTGCCAGGCGTTCTGATAATTGACTTTCTCATTCATTTTGTTTGTTAATCTTTGTAATCTATCAAACCAATGTTTCAATTTGTGTATATATATGTAGATCTCTGTGTTTTTTTTTTTAGCCTATTTGATTGATGATGAGATCAAATCTTTGCAATTCAAGACTTTAAAGTGTTTAGATTTCTCTTCTCTGTTTTGAGTTTGTCTGCAGTGTAGTTTTTCACCCTTATGTTATATGTAAATTCAATTGAAGTTTTCTTAGACAAGTGAAGTGTTGACTAGGACTTGATTCCTATATGAAAAAAGAAGAAGTCTAGGACTTGATTTGTTGTTGGAGAATTTGTTTGTTGTAAGATCCACTTCACCATTTGCTTTGGCATAATAGTGTTTCTTGTACATAAAGGTGTTTATGCTTAACTTTCTTTGTGCTTGCTTTCATTTGAAGGCATAATAGTTTGGTCTTTATTGATTGATTTAAGAGAGCAATGTATTTCTTGAATCTATCATAATCTATCAAGAGTATTATACAAACTTTTGGTTTCTTTATTAATATGCTTCATATAGTATCGATTTAAATTGCACCATCGGGATGCAGTCATTAGTGGTGCATGCATGCATAAATAACCTTAGACCCATCCAAGAATCTTCATTAGAGATACCTAGTCATCTTTGATGAACCTCTTTTTGGATTGTCCAGTTTGGACAGTTCATGAGCCACAAGTCCATATTGTAATTAGTAGTTCTACCGCTTATAGTCTATCTCGTAGAGATTTCGTGTAACAGCTCCTCATGGTTTTTGGGTGTATACTAGACAAGGTGTAGCAGTACACCTAGTCTATCTCGTGTACTTGGGGAACCATAGAGAGATGTTGCCAAAATTTAGTTAGAGATGAACAGGACGGTATGAGCTTCGAAAACTTTATTGATGACGATGAAAGGTACAAGTTGTACGCACAAATACATCAAAACATCAATCAAGAGAGGAGGGTATACAAAGCATCACAAGGGGCTAGATTGATGAAAATGAAAGGTATGAGCTGTTTTTTACAATATAGATTATGCATTCCTGAATGGGAAAGTAAGATGAACCACCATATTAGAGACCAGTTAGAGGTGAATAATGTCATATCGCATGCTTTATAAGGTACTTAATTGAGGTTAAGATTAATTAAAATGGAATGGTAATTTTAAACTTTGTTGATTTGGCAGTAACATTTGTAGTGTAAGACAGAGTTAGATGGATAAAAGTTGGATAAATCAAGAGTTAGATGCAGCTTCCTTCACTTGTGAGGAGGACATGAATTGGGTTAGGCATGGTATTGATAGAACAATTGTTAATAAAACTACTGGACCTCTTAAAGAATCGGTAGAGGTGAAATTTGAAGATGACGAAGAAATGCTATAATATTATAATTGATTGCATATTCACTTTTACAATTGTGCTTTTTGTATGGATATTCGTGTTAATAAAATCTTTGCTTTGTAATCTTTTCTTTAAATGGCCATTTTTATCTTTCATGTACTCTGATTCTATTTTGAATTGTCATTTAAATATATAGATTTATCATAGTCGATGCCAACATTATCTTTGAATGTAGTTTCTTTATAGATTATTATGTCCTTACTCTTATGTTTGTAGTTTTTTTTATAGATTATCTATGAGTTCTAGCTTTGACAATTATTCTAGTGAGAGTAAGCAATCAAGCTCTAATAGTTCTAGTTTAGATGAGACTCAAGCCGCACTCAAGATGAGAGTCATATATGATCCACCGGCATCATGGCATCTACCAGGCAGTCTTCCTACCACATCACGTAACGGTAGCACATCGCATGACTCAGTTTCAATGGTACGCACAAGCTTTGGGGTTTCTTGATATTTTCTTATGGTGTTTTTGGGTTAATTCTGTGATAACAAATTAATTATTTAGAGTAAATGATGGCTGCATAACATTGTTTTATAGGTCCTAGTTCAAGTCAAGCCACACAAAAGCAAACGAGGGGTCCCACATATGTTTATGTTCCATGGGGTACTAGTGAAGATGGTGTTTTAAAAGTTGTTTCAAATGAGTTGAATCAAGTAGTTGAAGGATACACATCCCTTGCTTCACATTTGGGCGTTTTGGCACGAGATGGGAGTCTTGCACCACTCACTTTTACGAGTTGGCATTATGTCCCAGAACAAAACAAAGATAACATATGGAGGGAGATAAATGTAAGTTTGTTTTGATATATGGTAAGTTTGTTTCCTTTACTACTGCTGCAACAATCTTTACATCAAACCTGAACAAGGAAAAATGAAATAAATGGAAAAAAAAAAAGTGGGAAGAATGGAGAAATATATATATATATATATATTAATTTCCAAAGAAACCTATTGTTTTGTGTTTTTATCATATAAAACACAAAACATATGAAATGCTTATTACAAGTGTAGTTGACATTCATACTCGGCCTCATTGGTGCTTGCGTCAAACAGGAAACGGAGAGCACACTTGAAATAACCACCCTCGGGGACGGTAAGGATGAGACTAGCCCCACTGCATTCTTTGCGGGATGAACCATCGACATTGAGGGTCCAAGAGTGGGGATCTTCTGCTTCAGTGTTGAATTGTTTGGGCGGTGGGGCTGTGGTTGGGGTGGGATTAGTGAATTCCAGGATAAAATCGGCAACAGCCTGTCCTTTGATCGCTGTTCGAGATCGGTAGGAGATTTCAAATTGGCTGAGCTCGACTGAACATTGCATAAGTCTGCCAGATAACTCTGGTTGTTGCATTATCTTCTTCAAATGTTAGTCAGTGAGGACCACTATGGAGTGAGCTTGGAAGTAAGGTCGGAGTCGTCTTGAGGCTATGACCAAGGCTAAGGCCATTTTTTTCCAGCAATGGGTAGTTCTGTTCTGTTCCCCTGAGAGCCCGACTAATGTAATAAACCGAACGCTGTATTGAGCCGTCCTCCCTGATGAGGGCCGCACTGACTGCGGTGCTCGATACGGCTAAATAGAGAAAAGGGGCTCACCCGTGAGCGCCTGAGAGAGTAGGGGGGTTGGCCATGCATCATTTCAATTGTTGGAAAGCCTCTTCGGATTCGGTCGTCTACTCAAAAGCCTGCCGAAGGACTTTAAAAAAGGGAAGGCACTTGTCCGTTGCACGGGAAATAAAACGGCCGAGGGCAGCAACTCTGCCAGTAAGCCTTTGAACCTCTCTAATCGTTCTGGGTGACTGCATTTCTATTAGGGCCTTGATCTTTTTGAGGTTGGCCTCAATACCCCGATGACTGACCATGAAACCCAAGAACTTCCCAGATCCTACGTCGAAGGCGCACTTCTCCGGATTGAGTTTCATTTGATACTTGTGCAAGGTTTCGAAAGTCTCTCGCAGGTCTACCAAATGATTAGAGAAGAGTTTGCTTTTGACAAGCATGTCATCGACGTAGACTTCAATGTTCCGACCTATCTGATGGTGAAAAATGGTATTAACCAACCGTTGGTAGGTGGCGTCGGCGTTCTTCAATCCGAAGGGCATAACACAATAGTGGTAAGTTCCTCTATCCGTGATGAACGAGGTGTGTTCCTGGTCAGCTGGGTGCATGAGAATTTGATTATAGCTAGAGAAGGCGTCCATGAAACTGAGCATCTGGTGCCCGACCGTGGCGTCAACAAGTAGATCTATATGGGGGAGGGGATAGCTATCTTTGAGGCAAGCCCGATTAAGGTCGGTGTAGTCGACACGGAGTCGCCATTTACCGTTGTTCTTACGAACTAGGACCACATTCGACAGCCATCTGGGGTAGTCTACGTTCTGGACAAACCATGTTTCCAGTAACTTGTCTACCTCGGAAGCAATAAGAGCATTGTGCTCTAGGTGAAAGATACGTTGCTTCTAGCGAAAGGGTCAGAAATGGGGCTCGATGCTGAGACGATGAGTGATAAAGGAGGAATTGATACCCAGCATATCGAAATGGGTCTAGGCAAACACATCATTGTGCTCGGTAAGGAGGGCTGTAAGGTCGGCCTTGGCTTGGGGGGATAGTTGGCTACCGATCCTAACTGTTTTTGTTGGGTTGGTGGGGTCGATAAGGACTTCAACAAGTTCTTCCACTAGTTCTCCTCTAACTAACTCATCTTCATCTCTGACGTCGAGTCCTTCAATGATCATAGTCTCTTTCAGCTTGACCTCTTTGAGTGAAGCGACGTAGTATTCTCTGGCTACAGTCTGCTCCCTCCTCACAGTGCCAACTCCGAGGTCGGTGGGAAATTTCATAGCCAGGTGGTACGTGGAAGTGACAACTTGAAAAGCGTTAAGGGCAGTACGACCAAGGATGATGTTATAGGCAGAGGGACAGTCGACGACGAGGAAAGTGAACAACATAGTAGTCTGCCGTAGGTGCTCTCCAATGGTGATGGGAAGATGGATGGAGCCTATGGAGGTCACCCGATCTCCAGTGATGCCGACCAGTGGGGTTTGGAGAGGAGACAAACTTTCTTCCCTGACTTAGAGTTGGCGATAGGCGTTTAGGAAGATGATGTCTCAAGAGCCACCGTTATCGACAAGCACCCGTCTGACTTTGTAATTGGACAGGAGAGCAAAAATGACAAGGGGGTCGTCATGGGGGTAACGAACGTCTGTGCAATCGGCCTCCGTAAAGGTGATGGGTTCCATCCACTGTTTGGGGTGTTTGAAGGGGCGGTCCAATGTCGCAACCTCTTTATTGGAACCCTGCCGGATCTTTCTGAGTTTTGCCCGTTGGGCCAAATGGGATGGTCCACCACATGCCAGCCCGCCGGCAATAACTCTGATCTCTCCAACTGGGAAGGCAAGGTTGCCTTGTGCTCGGGGTTGCTGTGGGGGTCGATCATTGCCTTGGTTAGGTTGGGCGGGTCGTCGAGGAGGGGTGTGTTGGTGGTTGTTTTTGGTAGGTTCGGTCCTTGGCCGTTGGTGAGGCCGGGCCGCCGTGAACCGGCTGAGACGTCCCTGGCGTATCAAGCTCTCGACTTGGTCTTTAAGGTTAACACACTCCTCGGTATTGTGGTCGTGGTCCTGATGGAAACGGCAGTACTTGGACTGGTCTCGCCGATTAGAAGGAGACCGCAATGGTTGTGGCCATTTCAAGAGATAATCTCGTTGGATCTGGTTCAAGACTTGTTCCATAGGAGAATTGAGGGGAGTGTACCGTTCAAACTGGCCGGGTGGTCGGGCAGGTGCCGACCAGTCGGCTCGGGAAGGTCGGTCAATATACTGAGGTGTTTACTGTGTGTACTGGGTGGTTTTGGTTTCAGAGTCCTTTCTCTTCTCTCTAGGGGTAGGGTTTTTGGTTGTGGGGTCTTGTTGGGCGGCTAGGGAATCTTCGGTGTTCATGTATTTTTGGGCTTTAGAGAGGAGGGTTGCCATAGAGGTTGGAGGGTTTTTGGAGAGGTAGAAAAGAAAATCGGATGATCGTAGACTGGCCATGAAAGTCGTGAGAATGACTTTGTCATTGTTTTCCGCCACCTGCAAAGCTTCGGTGTTGAAGCGGGTGACGAAGCTGCCCAGCGACTCTCCCTCCGTCTGACGGATGTTAAGGAGTTGGGTTGCCGGACGCCGCTGGCACTGGGCACCAATGAAATGGTTGAGAAAGGAGTCACTTAGGTGCTGAAAAGTAGAGACAGAGTCCGTCGGCAGCTGACTAAACCACAGTCGAGCTGACCCCTTAAGCGTTACGGGAAAAGCCCGACACATGATCTCATCAGGGAATGCATGGAGGATCATGAGGGTCCTGTAAGTCTCCAAGTGATTGACTGGGTCCGTTGTACCGTCAAAAGAGTCGATCGAGGGCATTTTGAACTTAGGAGGTAGTGGTTTGTCCTTGATGGAGGCAGCGAATGGTGAGTTGGCTGTGGTAGAGGGTTTATTTTGTATGTTCTACATGACTCCTTGAAGTTGGAGTTTCATGGCTCGGAATTCTACATCCCAAAGAGGAGCGTTGTCACCACCGGAATGCAATGGAGGCTGGACACTACTGGCCTCTCCGTCGGGAGCGGGTGCTTGGGCCGATGGATTTGGGGCCCGAGATGGCAGGTTCATATCTTCGGGAAGGGGTCGCAGGCCCTCTAAGTTGGATGGGTGGGATTGTTGGATGGGATGGCTCGAGGCTCGCTCTCGGTTGGGTGGGATATCTTGAGGTGGTGGAGGAGACATAGGAAGGTCTTTTTGAAGCAAAGCATTGATCAGGGCTTGATTTTGTTCAGCTAAGCGGTTAATGCTGTTGGTGAGTTCTGTGAAATAGGGCGGTGGGTTGTTTGGGTTAGGAGGGTCAGCTTGGGGGTCGGCAACGTCGTGTTGAGAAGCCATGGATCTATTTGTGACCATCTACCTTGGTGGGTGGCAAGTAGGGATTACCGGGAATGGGTCTCCGGCGACAATGAGCACAATTGCCGCACGGAGCGAAAAGATTCCCACAGACGGCACCAACTGATGATATCGATTGCTCCGGATGGAAGGGGTCGGATTGATCTACGCTTCCCAAACCGTTGCCCGAGTGTCGAGCCCATAGAGAGACTTGCACAAGAGTCCAACAGAAAACGGGGAGTCCCCTAGCGAACCCTCCGACTATCAAGTTAGAGAAGAGAGGGTGATGGAATGTAGAGATAGGATGGAGATAGAGAACTTATCATTTTATTTGTCTTAGAAGCCTGCTTATATCCTTTGCTCATCATTTCCTTATCCACTCTGAGCTATCATGTTGGCCGAAAGTCTATGTTCTAACTTGCCTTGTTCATGGCAGTGTTTTTAAAGGCTCAAGGCACACTAAGGCGCCGAAGGCCTCTTGGAGCCTAGGCGCAAGGCGAGGCGCGGGCTTTATTGAAGTAAGGCGCACAGTATTCGTAAAAAATAGAAAAATTAATATAGACTAATCATTCATAGTAGTAAGACAATTTTTAAAAAAATAAAAAGTAATCAAGATTCAAGACAAAATATAGAATAATTCTCAAAGCCATGAAAGTGCATATTACATAACATTCCATGTATCCAAATTCTTCATCTCCATAGCCAACAAAGATGCATGGAGTAGCTTTATCATCCAGCTTCTGTCTGTGCTCCTTGGATACATGTGCAAATGCTTTGCACCCAAACACTCTCAAGTGAGAGTAAGAAATCTCCCTTCCAGACCATACTTTCTCTGGAAT